AAGCCATCCATGAATGCCATGACTCATCATAGCTGGCTTCACACACGTTGGTTTTAATGTTTTGGAATCATTGTTGGCTTTCAACTCTCCAGTTCGTCCAGCTCGGACATCCTTGTTCGAAAGTCCACGAGTCTGATTTGGCCTCATCTCAGTCTCGCGGAATGGAAAACCATAAGAGTTCTTGGATCTAGGCATGACATTCTTGTTTTTGTTTTTTGGCACCTTTGTCTTGCCAATTCGACCATGCTACATTGCTTGCCCAGACTGGTCTTGTTTTGTCAGCTGCACACACTCACGACGTTGTTGAGTTTGAGGCTTACGAGCTTCTCCAACAGTCATGTGGTAATTTTGATTTTTGCACTTATCACATAACCACTTGGTATCTTTTGAATTTTCACGTGGGATTGGAATTTTTCGGGCATTTAGCTTGCCCCCCTGCCTGAAAATCATGGAAGACTTGTTCCCAGCCAGCATTGGCGTGGCAACCCCATGTCGGGTTTGATTAAACTTGCCCCCATGTCCACTCAGTGGAGGCTTTGGGGACAAATTACAATGAGGGTTCTTTTGATTCATGCCAATTCTTTCGGGATTGGTTTTTTTCACGTGGTCACCACCTCCATCTTGAATAGTGTCTGTGGTGACCCCAGTTCGTTTTTTCTTAGAATATGGTGGATGTGGCAAACTTATTTGCCACTTACGGTGTTGTTTCTCCTTCAATCTACCACGATCTGGGATGGCATGCCCCCCTAGCGGCTTATATTAAACAATGTTGTAAAATTTGTCATCTTTCAAGATATCACACTTGTTCTTCCTAATTTTCTGAAACTTATTGTAAACACGTTTAAATTTTGTTCTTTGTTGTGGCTTTCGCAAGACCGCTCTAACTTTCCTGTCATTCAAAACAATAGGGTTCACAGGAGAACCAACATGAGATTTGCTGGCCCCTAACGCCACTGTTTTAGCCACAAGTTTAAGTGAATCCTTATTGGCAATACTGGAAACATGTTCATCTATCATCTCAAAAAATTTGTCCATATGTCTTCCAAGAGACCCACAAGACTTATTTAAAGAGATAAAATAGAGATTTACCTGCCGGTAATACTCCTCTACAGATCGACGAAGAGACAGGAGTGCAACATGCCCATCGATGCTCGACATGGATTGGGGCCACTCCTTCATCCAACCGATATGTCTATTTGCCTCCTCTGCTCGGTCAACTTCAATGCCGACCACACGCTCCACCTTCACAGTGTCTTGTGGAAGATCAACGTTGTGTTTTCCATGCCGCAGAGCCATATTTCACTTCAAACACACGTGTCCCACCAGGTGTGCCAAATTGTTTCCACGGGAAAACCAAATGCCACCGCCGGCGCCGAATTTGGTTTCCGGCGATGTTGATTCGATGTTTCGCGTTGGAAACCCTTGCGGTGCCGTTTGATCGGATGCACCGCTGATTGTTGAAATCGAGACGACCGTCAAATATCCACCGCGGTGTTGATTTGATCGGTGCAACTGACTTCTGAAAATGATGACGATCGTCAAATATCCACCGCCGTGCGATGTTGATTTGATCGATGCACCTATGAATGGTGAAATCAACGTGACCGTCAAATATCCACCGCCGTGCGATGTTGATCTGATCGATGCACCTCTGGCTTCTAACCAACGCAACCGTTACTACGGTTCGCACCTCTCCAAACTACGTTCGAACGAGGGTGTTTGAGTTTTTGGGGAATTTACGTTAAAACTACTCCTATGGAGATTCCTGTGGAGAGCTCCGCGACTACGACTAAGACTACAACTATGGAGATCCTTCCTGGAAGGAGAGCTCCGCGAAGGAGTTACAGAGAAAAAAGGTAAAGTTTGAGAGATGTGTTTCTGTGTTGATTTTTGGTTCCCCTCTCTCTCTCCTTGCTCCCCTGCTTTTATTCAAAAAACCGCTTCGTAGTCTTCACGCTAGGTGGAACCGCTTCCTCAACTGCTCCGTTGTGAACTCCCACGTGTCTCAACCGTCTTGATCTCCTCCTCGCTCGGGTTGGTGTGAATCTCGCGCGATGTCGTTTTCTTCCCCAAACAGCTCTGTTTGCTTTTTTACTCCACGACATTGTTTTATATTAAACACTGTCGTTTTCTAATACAGCGGTACCGTTGGGCTTGCTCGCGGTACCGTTTTTAATTAAACGACACCGCTGACATAGCCAAAAATACCAGTTCACTGAAACGCCGCGCGTTTGCACTCACTCGCATTGGGCTGGGCGGATTTTGGTCACTTACCCGATATGGCTTTTAATTAATTGGTACCGCTTGTCAAGGCTCTCGCGGCATCGTTTTTAAATACGCGGTACCGTTTTTATTTTCCGCGGTGTCGTTGGGTTTATTCGCGGTGCCGTTTTTAGCCAAACGACACCGTGTCCCAGTCTCGGATGCCGTCGAGCTTTGAGGTTCGCGGCATCGTTTTATCTCTTCGCGGCCTTGCTTGACTCCAAATGGTGCTGTTACTCTCCTCCTCCGACAAGGAAAAAATAAAATACAAAACATTCCTTGTCCAACAGCAACACATGTCCTGCGCATGACTCACATATGGTCTGCAACCAATGTCGTTTCAAGTATCGCGGATCCTCTTCGCGGTCTCGCTTAAATTCTCCGCGGTATTGCTCGACTCCAAACGACATCGTTTTGGCCATGCGATATCGAATTAAATGCCGAGACTCATTATTACGGCATTGAATTTAGGCCAAAAATATTTTAGGTGTAAACAGAGAGAGATCCATAGAGGAAGAAAGGCAGATCGGCAGTTGGAACCTTTATCTTTCTCTTCCCCGACGTTGACGTTGCTGCAACTAGAGCTACTGCTGCTCCTCCGACCACCACAACTCCCACTATTATCAAAGAGCAGCGGACTGAAGCAAGAACAGCTCAAAGATATGGCTTTAGATTTGCTGGATCAAAATCGAAGGAAACAATAACAACTCAAAGATATGCTTTAAATTCTCTCTTTCTCTCCGTCTTCATTTCCGCTTTCAAGTTCTTTAATTAGTGAGCATGGTTAATAATTAAGATGGGAAAGGCGAAGAAGATGAGGAAGGGGAAAGAGCTAATGTTGGTCTTTTTTGAATTTCTTTTTAATTTGACAGGTGAACTGTCTAGTCAGCAGTCTATTTGCCACATCATCAAAATACTAACGGAGTTAATGGAGTTTAACGGAGACTAACGATCGGTGACTAATGGTGAAACGATTCGTAAAGTTAGTGGTGAATAAGAAAGAAAACTAATTCGGGTGGCAAACTTGAAAGATTTATGTAATTTGAGTGACCAAACGTGTAATTTAGCCTGATAAAAAATCAATTAAACAAACAATGTACTCTTTCAAATCCATGATGCAACAAATCCATCATAAATCCAAAGGTTTTTAAAACTCAAAACCTTCATTTTCAAATCCAACAAGCAAACGAGACCATATATGTTGTTTCTTAGTAGCTTTCATAGTGCTATAACGAAATTCGTCTAAACAACTGACCGAGTAATCTGTTTGATGTTGTGTGCAACTGTGCAAGTGATTGCGGCTCATCCAATTTATTATATTATCTACTGAAATAAAATAAAAAGGCTTCCTGTCCACAAGAAGAAGAAAAAGAAAGAAAAAAAGAGAAAGCTGTTTGGATGGTTTTCCAATGGAAAATAAATATGTATAGCCAATTAAAGGCTAAAGGCTCACGCTCTTTCTACCCAAAAAAAAAAATTCTACCAAAAAAAAAAAATCTCACGCTCCCAACAACCAATCAATCCTCCCCTATCCGACTCAAAGACTGTCCTTGGACTAGTTGGGGTAAACTCGACATTCGACAAATGTTCATTCAACTTTGTCTCATATTCCATTTAACTCTTAAAAAATAAATGACTTTTTTTTTTTTTTGATCGGAACCTGTATTAAAAAATAAATGACTTAAAAGCTAAAAGCTAAGACATAAGATTGATACGATATACTTTCCAATTTAATTATAATTTTTTTTATATGTTTGAGTCATTCGCTCCCATAGGTTTTGTAAGGTATTTATGGGGTCGAGAGTAGCCGCCCATATCCTCAATCATAACAAGGAATAAGAAAATTATACATTACCAATCCATTAGCAACAACTTAGTAGAATTAGCTTAGCTTCCTACATAATAGGCCTGTAAATATTTAGAAAACACAAGACTCATAGGGGTCATTTGGATGCAGGTTTTGGGTGTGGGATTTGGGCACAATCCTACATAGTGTGGGATTTTAATTAAAATCACTCGTTTGGAAAGCAATTATATGATAAGAGATTTTAAATATTAGAGATTTAAGAAACCCACAATTGTGGGATTATGAAATAGCTGATGGTGATCAACTATTTTAAAATCCCACACTAATCCCACAAATTAAAAACCTGGGTTTTTAACCAGTGATTTGTGCCAAAATCCCACAAATTAAAAACCTGGATCCAAATGACCCAATAGATATAAAATTGCTTCATCCACTTTCTCAGTGTCATACCTATGTAGGAGAGAAGTCGAGCGGTAACCTTGAGACGGAAGTAGAGCGGGGTCAGTACTGGACAAGGATATGAAATGACATTTCCTATTTATACACACATTTGTCCAAATTTCCACCAATTTGGTTAAGCAATCATGACAAATAAACTCACCATATCATCAAAATATGGTAAACATCTTTAGTAACTACTCGATTGAACCTTTCAATTCGATTCTAATTCGGAAACTTGTCTTGTCACGAGTAATTACATAAGAGTCGCAAATCCAACCATAATTAAGCGGGAAATGGTTTGGTTGAATTCACCATTAAGGTGTTGAATGAGATATTCTGAATATACAACAATCTTACTTGACATACTCTCACTCAGCAAATTGAGAACAACTAAAATCTATTTTGTTACAAAACTTAAGTTAATTATATTTCTGGTCGAAATTAGGGGAAAATAAAAAGCATTTAGGAATTTAAACCTCACTTAACAAGTAAATTCCTACAAGAATCCAAACTCGCCGTACACTGGGGCAAAAACGTGATTCTCCATCTGCGAAGAAGACAACGACATTCGGAGGAGAGCGGAGCTGCCTGCCTACGGTTCGCAAGTTTCGGGCATTTTATATAAGTTTTCTCTCGCCCCATCACCAAACCAACTGAAACAAGGAAGGAGAAAGAAAGAAAGAAAAGGAAGTTAACGATCTAATTCTTCTTCCTTGGGGGATCCTCTGAACGGCAGAGTTGTCGTCACGCAATCCCCGTCGATGGATTTTGACATGCAATCCATGGCGGCGGCGATCGGGGTCTCCGTCCCCGTTCTCCGCTTCCTGCTCTGCTTCGCGGCGACTATTCCGGTGAGTTTCTTCCACCGGGTTGTCCCCGGTTCGCTGCCCAAACACATGTACGCCGCACTCTCAGGGGCTATTCTGTCCTACCTCTCATTCGGGTTCTCTTCCAATCTGCACTTCTTGGTGCCCATGTTGCTGGGCTACGCCGCCATGGCCGTGTCTCGCGCTCACTGTGGAATCATCACTTTTGTTCTGGGATTCGGGTATCTCATTGGCTGGTGAGTTTGGGTACTTTTCTTTCTTCTAATTTGATGTCGAACTAATTCGTTGTGGGGATCCTTGATTGATTGTTGGGCATATGTTTCAAATTTGTGCTTGCTGCATTGGTTTGTGGTTAGTAATGTTAAGAGATATGGCGCTTGATTGTTAGTCATTTGGTAATACATTCGTGCATTGGTTAATTGCTGCTTGAACTGAGGAGAGCATGGGAAGAATGTGAACTTTGGAAGTTCTTAGCTTTTCCTTTCCTTCTTTCTATGGACCCCTTTATCCTGGGTTTTACTGAGGCTCAATCTGTCAGTTGCATGTCTTCTTCAGCTTCAATCATATAGAAAAATCGGTATATTATTTGTTTGAATCTACTGCAGAAGTGCGTCCAATCTCTTCTGCTTGCTTGTTGATGTTGTAGTTCTCTCTTCTCTGACTCTAAGGGGACAAATTTGCATATCAGACAAAAATAAATACTGGGTTTTTTTGGCCAAGTTGCAAGTTGGTTTCTATGAGATAAGATGAGGCATGGAGGAGTGTTTATCTTTTACCACTTCCTTCCTTTCTTTCTTTCTTCTCTCTCTCAAATTAGATACACTGTTCGTTCTTGAATTGTAGACCCAAGTAATGCCTACTGTTCGTGACTGTATTAATTCTCAAATAGATGAGCTCTAATCTTACTTGGGTTAGACTCTAATGGTAGTCTTTTGCTTTACTTTTGACCGCAAGCTCTATTGACAGTGTACTTTGATCTGCATCCGTCTCATGGATTGTCTTTTCCTGATTAGATTAAGTGAGAGTGTCTATGTTTATGTACATGCAAAAAAATGTGGATTGAGGTAAGGAACTTACTAAGAGTTCTTTTAACTGTTGGTGTGCACGTACAGCCATGTATATTACATGAGTGGTGACGCATGGAAAGAAGGAGGCATTGATGCCACCGGTAAGTGCAACTTGATTGTGTTGACATCCTATGTTTAGATAGTTAAAAGATCTAATGCCGCTCCTAGAAAATTGAACACTTCTCCGCTTTTGTTGCCTTGTAGTAATACTTGGTTTCTTTTGAAAAACTAGGGGCATTGATGGTGTTGACTCTGAAAGTGATATCATGTGCCATGAACTACAACGATGGACTACTGAAAGAAGATGACTTGCGGGAGGCTCAGAAGAAAAACCGCTTAGTGAAGATGCCTTCTTTGATTGAGTACTTTGGTTACTGCCTCTGCTGTGGTACTCACTTTGCTGGTCCGGTTTATGAAATGAAGGATTACATTGAGTGGACTGAACGGAAAGGGGTGTGTGAACTAACTAAGTCTGGTTTTGTGTTTGATTTTGCTAGCCTGGTTTATGAAATCCAAATCCATAGTTCTTACATTCTGGTCTTTGTAGATATGGGCAGGACCATGGCCATCACCGTTTTTAGCAACACTAAGAGCAATTATTCAGGCTGGTCTTTGCATGGGTCTATACTTGTACTTGGTGCCCTACCATCCTTTGTCTCGGTTCACTGATTCGGTATACCAAGAATGGGGGTTCTGGAGAAGATTGAGTTACCAGTACATGTCGGGGTTCACAGCAAGATGGAAGTACTATTTTATCTGGTCAATTTCAGAGGCTTCAATGGCAATCTCTGGTCTGGGATTCAGCGGCTGGACAGATAGTTCACCACCAAAGCCACGATGGGATCGTGCTATAAATGTTGATGTTCTTGGTGTTGAATTTGCTAAGAGTTCGGTTGTCTTGCCTCTTGTGTGGAATATCCAAGTCAGCACTTGGCTTCGTCACTGTGAGTTAATTTCAAAACTGTCTGCTACGTTAAGCAAAAGCTTTCCTTTTCCAAGCTTGTATTGCTTATCTTCAATCAGATGCATCTTCAGAGGGCTTTGAATCTCAGCTATGACAAAGGATTACTTTTGGAGTAACTGATTGCCAAGAGTATCTGCAACTTGCATGAAATGTATTGGCATTCACATGCTACTTATGTGGAATATATTGAAAGTCATTACTTTCGTTTTTGCATACATAAAATGTCTGATTTCATGGTTGGTGGGCTAATTGGCTAACCGATAATGATTGATTAAGTGGTCAAATAATGGTGATCCAAAAGTCCATGTAAACATCCTGATGACACGATTGAAAGAGCAGTTATTGACTTAGAATTGCTTGCTTTTGCTGTCTCAGATGTCTACGAGAGACTCATTCAGAAAGGAAAGAAGCCTGGTTTCTTTCAGTTGTTGGCCACACAAACTGCCAGTGCTGTTTGGCATGTGAGTATAAATTTCTTGCTTTGTATGTACATTGCCTTTTTCCCTACTTGGTAGTATATTTGACATGACACTGTCATGTTTGCTGCTCATCATGAATAAAAGTACTGAAACACACATCTCATTTGAGCTTAAGCCTTCTGTTTCTTCCTCAAACTACTATACATATAACCTGCCCAAAATGCAAAATGTTTGGTCCACCTTGCATCTCTTAAAAATTGAAGCACATCTTATTACTTCTATGTTTTTATCTAAGGTCATCACTAATTTCTGTGATGAGGATTTGTGACCAGGTGGTCTTTTATATTCCTACAAATCTGAAGAAAGTTCGTTATGCTGTGCACTTAATTTCCCCATATCATTTGTTGCTGTCAAACTTGGATAGTAACTACCATCCTCTAGAGCTAGTCATAAAATATCAAAAGGAGAAAGGAAACCATCTTCGAGAGCTTCATGTTGATGGAAAATGGGACGTTCATTTGGGTGGTGGATTGTTAAATTGAACAGATTGTTGCAAATGAATAGATTTTGAAACAGATGATTGTAGGAATGAGCAGTTCCCAAAATATATTATTTGGTTATTGAGGTGAATTGCTGTATGTGGGTTCCCTGATTAAATGAGCAAGACTAAAATGTCTTCATTATTTTATGTTGGTTGGTTATCTTTAAGAAGCATTTGGTAGAATACTGTCAAAGAGACCCAAGATTTTGAATTATTAGATAGATTTTGGAAACTCTTGTATACCTGGGGGCTATACATTCCCCATTGGTACAGTGATTGGCACTACCTTTCCAGCCAACAGAGATTGTATACAGATTTCTTAAATAATTACTTCTTATCTGCTGCTTGCTCTTCTCTTTGGTATGCTCACACATGTGAGGTTCTTTGGATTTTGTGTTGATTGTGTAACCTTTCCCTTCTAGTATCTTGGAAGCTAATAATGCCATCATATGATAAGCTGCTGCAATGCACACTTTAGTTTCATGATGAGAGTCGTAAGCAGGAGTGAGCAATCAACTTGTGGATGTGATGAGAAAATCAGCTTTAAGTGAGATGATATCATTAGGGTCATAGTTTGCCTTTTAAGGATGTGATCTCTTGACTTGTCTCATCTTTTAATGCTTGATGTCTGTCACTTTTTCTTGCATGTTTCTCCATAGTAGTAGTTAACCTTTTTCATGTGTTGCCTTCTGCTACTACACAGGGATTGTATCCAGGTTACCTCATTTTCTTCGTTCAATCGGCATTGATGATTGCAGGATCCAGAGGTAATTAATGCCAATATTTCCTATCTCATCGTTTCACTTTCAGAAAACATTGATGAAGCATTATCTTTTTTCCATGTTATTTTCCAAAACCAGTTATATATAGATGGGAGCAAGCCTCAAAGGGTTTAATCAAGAAGGTTTTCGCTCTCACAAACTTCGGTTACACAGTTTTGGTCCTGAACTACTCGTGCGTTGGTTTCATGGTTAGTCTGTTCTCTTATCACCCCATTTGCATCCCCAATTAGGGGTTACTGATCGGTCCAATTTGGTTTACCAAACTGGAAGCCAAAAACTGGACAGCCCTAGCTGTTAATAGCATTTTACCGGTTCTCTTGTGTTGCTTACGAGATTCTCTCTCTGCCTCAGGTACTAAGCTTGCACGAAACGCTTGCTGCTTACGGCAGTGTATACTATGTCGGAACCATTATTCCCATAGCCTTGATCCTTCTCGGTTCCATAATCAAACCAGCAAGGCCAGCTCGATCAAAGCCCAAGAAGGAAGAGTGAGGTTAGAGAAATCCGAGGGGAAAAACACAGGACCAAAAATGCTTTGTACCATTTCTTCGATTTAGCCACCCTTGTTGAAGTTTCATGTTAGCTGCTTATCCCCCAGGCCCGGCTCATACTTTCTTCTGCTGCTGTGGCTTGTCTGTATTTCTTTCAATTGATGGAAAAACAAGGTCCTAGAGCTAGAAATTGAGAAAGTAAAACCAATTGCAGGTCTCTGCAGCTTCCTTCCACTAATGCATTCAGCAGAAATTATACATCAGTGTTGGATTGTGCTCTTTTGTTATCCATTTTTATAGAAGTTAGTTCTCCAGAAAGGTCAGCAACTGTGTTTCTTAACTGGCAATGCCTAGATAAGTTGGTATGAATTGATGCAAAGCAGAAGCGTTGAAATAAATGCTATGACAGTCAATTCCTTTGCAAGCAAACACTTCTCTGGGAAAAGTGAAAACTCACATGGGATATTAGCCATGATGAAAATCAGGCCTTCTTTTTTTACAAAGGGCAAAGATATTTCATTACTTTAGGCAAAATAGAGGAGCAATAACATCAAGTACATGAATCCATTCAGATGGAAGCTGATTTTTTGCACAAGATCGTGCCACCCAATTCGCTTTGGAGTTTCTTTTTCTGTTTGTGTATTCGAACCGAATAACAGGGTGGTTGATAATAAGATTCTTGATGTGTGAAATCAAACTGCTGCTCGCCATGGCCAACAATCTTGACTGTTGGTAAGTGCCTTGATGAGGGAGAGGCAGTCAGTGAGGATCTTGCAAGGCGCTGCCAGTGAGGCAGCCATGCGCGCTCCTTCCCAAAGTGCCTTAGCTTCTGCTTCAAGTGGTGAAAAACAATGCAAAGACTCAGCCTTCCCGTCACATACCTGTCCGTGGCAATTCGTCACAACGACGCCAAAAGCCGCCTCCTGTGAATCACTAAAAAATGATCTGTCACAGTGTATCTCAAAGTCATGAGTACTCGGCGGTGGAGAGGAACAATCAAGGGGTGGATTGTTCTGAGTTTGAGTGGGCAGGACTCCAATCTTCCTGGGGCAGTATATCCATTGGTGATATGCATTTTGTGCTCTGGAGGTTGTGTTGGGTGGCCAAGGGAGAGTACCTGAGAAGATCCGTTCATTTCTGGTCTTTCAGGTTTGCTACATCTGGAAAACGATACGCTGGATCGAGAGATTTGATAGTCTTGATTGTAAGGAGAACAGCCAATCCAACATATTGGTGAGTGGAGGGGGGAGACCAAGTCCAGGCCACTCGTTATTCCACCCTGTCTCTGCGTGTCGGCATGAGAAAATGCAGTGATGAATTGATTCAGCTGGGCAGTTGCACAGGGGGCATGCTTTGGTGGGGGAGCATTTCCTCGCGAACAGGTTCTCTTTCGAGGCCAAAGCATTCTTTGCACATCTCCAAACGAAAAACTTCATCTTTGGGGGAGGGAAAAACTCCAAAGCCACTTCCATTTTTCTTTAGCTGCTTCCGGGAATGGGTTACCATCCCCTTGGTATCTGCGAGAATGATCGTGAATGAGGTGAAAAGCAGATTTTACCGAGAAAATACCTTGCTCAGAAAATCTCCATGCCCAGAAATCAGCCATTGTGGCCGGTCCAAGAGGTGTGCCAGACGTGAGGAGAATGTCTTGTGGGTCGAGGAAGTTTCTCAAAAGGTCAAAATTCCATTCACGTGTGATAGCATCGATGAACATGGCAGCCGTTGATGAATCATTAGGTCTGCGAGGAGTGAGGTCCTGGCCGATCAAAACGCCAGGGGTCTTGAAACATTTTCGTTGTTTCCCCATTCCTGATCACTCGGATCACTCCCTTCTCCATCCAGCTCTTCGCTTCCCAGAGGCTGGCCCAGATCCAAGATGCTTTGCTTCCCTTTTTTGCTGACAGGAAATCTGTTCTTGAAAAGTAAATGCTTTTTAGCACTTTCACCCATAGAGCATTTGGACAGGTCAGGATACGCCATGCTTGTTTTGCAAGAAGGGCCAGATTAAAAGTGTGAAAAGGTCTGAACCCTAACCCCCTTCCTCTTTTGGAGCATACAGGACATGTCCCGCTCTCCAGTGTATTGATCGCTTAGAGATGTTTTCTCCCCAGAAGAAATTCTTGAGCATGGAATCCATTTTGTTGGTGGCCGATCTTGGGAGGAGGAAAAGGCACATACCGAAGGAAGGTAAAGCTTGGAAAACAGCCTTAAGGAGTGTTTCTTTACCTCCTGGTGAAAGCAGCAGGCTCTTCCAGGACTCTCCTTTGCTTTCCATTCGTTGGATGATGAAGTGGAAAGTTTCCTTTTTTGATCTACCCCATTCAGTAGGGACCCCAAGGTAGCTTGAGTGACAATTCGACTCTGCAAATCCAACCGTCTGGACGATTCTTTCTTTTTCATCATCTGTTACATTATGGCTGAAGAATAATGAGGATTTCTCTCTATTGACCTCCTGTCCTGTTATCGATCCATAATCGTTGAGGATCCCCAGAATCTTCTCTGCTTCAGAAGTTGAAGCTTCTCCAAAGATGACTGTGTCATCGGCAAAGAGGCAATGAGTGAGTGTAGGGCAGGCTCTATTGAGTTTCAGCCCTCTAATATCTCTTCTTTGGACTGCTTTTTCAATCAGAAACGATAGGGCATTGGACATCAGAATGAAGAGGAGAGGGGAAAGGGGATCCCCTTGACGAATGCCCCTGGAAGGGATGAACTCCTCTGATGATCTTCCATTGAATAAGATTTTGAATTTCACCGAATCAATACAGGTTCTGACCCATCCACACCAGTTGTCGTTGAACCCATAGGCTTTCAGTATCTTTATGAGAAAGTCCCACTCCACCAGGTCGTAGGCTTTTCTCATATCAAGTTTCATCATCATGTTCTTTTGCTGTCCTTCCTTGTGTTTCTTGAAGTGGTTTAGGACTTCATGAACAATCACAATATTATCTTGAATCTGCCTCCCCCCTGTAAATGCTGATTGTAGTTCATTCACAAGATTTGGCAGGTGTGGCTGTAGTCTATTTGATAGGATCTTCGTGATTACCTTGTAACGGAAGTTACAGCAACTTATTGGCCTGAACTGACCAATGGTTTCTGGTGCTCCAACTTAAGGGATCAGGGTGATAAAGGTGTCATTCCAATCTGGTGGCATGATACTGGAACTGAAAAAGTTGCTATTTCCTCACATAACTTGTCCCCCACAATGTGCCAATACTGCCGGAAAAAGTGGTCTGGAAAGCCATCAGGGCCTGGTGCTTTGTTAGCACCAAGCTGAAAAACTGCTTTTCGGATTTCAGCCTTCTCTATATTAGCATTCAAGTGTCTGTTATTCTCCTGTGAAACCAGCAGTGGAAAATCGGTGAGCAGAGAAGAGTCAAAAGTTCCATTTCTGCTCGTGAATAGATTAGAGTAGAAACCATTAACGTGCCCCTCAAGATTCTGTTCTAAGTTCAACCAGTTTCCTGAATCATCTTTCAGTTTGTCGATGCGATTCCTGGTTCTTCGTTTGATTGTGCTAGCATGGAAGAAGCCGGTGTTTTGATCTCCTTCTTGAAGCCAACTATTTCTGGATCTCTGTGCCCAAAATTCTTCTTCGAGCTTCCAAGTAGAATCAAATTCTTTCAAAAGTAGTTTTTCTTCCTCAATCTTCTCAGAGTTTCTCGTCGGCCCTTTTAAATCTGGTAATCTCCTTCTGATTTCCTTTTCTCTTTTGATTTTCTTAGCTCTCTCCATTTTCGCCCAGTTTTGAATTTCTTCGCGGCAACTATTGAGAGTCTCATTTACCTTGTCTCCTCCCCTCCATAATCTATCAATGATCTGAGTGCAATCCCCGCTTTCCCTCCACCTTTTATCAAACTGAAAGGGGGTCTCCCTATCTTGCCTTTTGGGATGTAAATCAATTCGGATTGGGCAGTGATCCGATTCTACAAAGTCTTCATGGAAGACCGTGGCTGCTCCGAACTTTAGTCTCCATTGAGCCGAGCACAACCCTCTATCAAGTCTTTCTCTAATCAAGTCTGCTCCTTGCTGATTATTGGACCACGTAAAGACTGATCCGGAAAAACCAAGGTCAAGAAGGGCATTCTGCGAGATGAAATACTTCAAGGGGTCGACATTTTCATTTCTCAGGGGGCATCTCCCCTGTTTTTCAAAAGGGTACATGGCGACATTCAGGTCACCTACAATCAGCCAACTGACATCATGGGAGTCTCTGATGATCGTAAGTCGATCCCAAAGAGCTCTTCTCTCCACCACCGTGGTGGGAGCATGGACAAAAGTACAAAAGAAGTCTTCCCCTTACCTACTAATACACACATCCATAAAGGATTTACACACATCCAACACTCGGATACTCACATCTTCCCTCCACCATAAAGTCAAACCACTACCTTCATCTGCTGGGTTGACATACCGACCAAAGTCAAACTTCAGTGCTCTCCTTTTGTCCTCCATGAAAGCTTCATCCTTCTTGGTTTCCATTAGAAAGAGAACTGTCGGGCCAAACTGACGGCATAGCCTGCCGCAGTAATTTCTAGTAAGGGATTGGCCGAATCCCCTACAGTTCCAGCTCAAAATCCTCATTCATGGCGTGGCGGCTCAAGGCTTGCCACCGCTGCCCTCGGAGAGATCGATTCACCTTCCCCGGAATGGTTCCCTTCTGCTGTCAATTCCGCTAAGCTCCTCCTCCTTGTGATATATTTCCTCCTCTGATAGGTCTTCCTGTTTTCACCTGGAACAAAAGCCAAGGAATCAAAAGAAATGTTAGCCGAGTTCTCCGATTGTGGAATGGGGCAGCTTGGGCTGACTCGGTCTGGTTTCCTCTTCTTCTCGAGCCTGGTTCTGGGCTCTTCCTCTTCTGTTGCAACTTCTTTTCCTGTGTTCAGGATGGGGGCCTTTGCTTGTGGTGTAGTAGCTGGGCCTGATATTGTCTGGCCTGTTGTTATCACGCTGGTGGTGTCTCGGAAATAGAATGGGCTTGCTAAAGAGAGGGATCGACCCATCTCGAACAGGCCTGCTGACTTTTCTCTGTTCCTTCCTCCTTCCCCTAGGTCGAGAGACCTTTGCATTGCCTTCGCCGTAGCTTCCATCTCCCTTTCCAGTACTGTGGGTTGAAGGTTGGTAGTAGGTAGGATGACTTCCCCTCTCTGGGTCCACTCCGTGCCTGTTCTTGATATTGGCAGAGCCATTGCAGTGAAACCTGGTGGGCTCGAGGAGGAGCTGTGCCCAGTCTGACCTGCAAATTGCAAAAGGGACGTTTCTCCTCGGGAACCGCGAATCAGGCCTGTGGGGTGACCAGTTAGGGTTGGTCGGTGGGATCTTGCCATCTTCTCCCTGAATGAAGCCGGTGGCGTGTTCGCCGGAAAGTCATGGCCGGCCTTCAAAGCTGC